ATTTGATTGAGCCATCTGTCAAGTTCATGACGCTAACACCGGACAAGGGTTTGCAGGATTTTTCCTGTAAAAACGTTCTGCAAGATGCTGAATCCCGACCGTCTGTATACTGGGTGAATCGTCGAATTCACCTTGGCGATGATATTTTTTTTGCGTTAATTTAAATTTTACAGGGTGCACCAAACAAAACAAATCATAATAAAATAATTATTTTACTATTTTTTATTTAAGTAGGTACCTATTGTAATTATGTCTTAAATATTGTATAATTGAAAAATACGTCTTTTATTTTTAATTATACAGGGTACGCTCAAAGTAATTCGATTATACAGTGTGTCTACTTAAGTTGGAACCAAGTGGAAACAATTTTAATATTGATTTTAGGAAAAAAAGTTATTCTTGATAAAAAGTCCTGCATGACCCAAAACTTAAAATACAGTCAATCAGATATCAAATTTTTTGAGCCATACACAAGGTTTGTCAAAAAATATGAATTTTGCTCAAGGGTAAAGTACGTTTTTTTTTGACAAAATCGAAAATTTTCATTAAGAAAAGTTGATTAGAATTGAAAATTACATTTAAATATGCAATTACACCGAGCTATCTGAAAAATCATATTTTTTCTAGATTTTGCATTGATCCATCTAATTACGGTAATCCATAATTTTTTCTCTCTCTTCTCTACTATAAACATAATACGCTTTCCTTTTCTTGATGTTTGTGAAGAATTTAGCAATTTTCTTAATGAACATTTTCGATTTTGTCAAAAATAAACGTATTTTACTCTTGATCAAAATTCACATTTTTTGACAAACCTCGTATACGCCTTGAAAAATTTGATATCTTATGACTGTATTAGGTCATGCAGGACTTTTTATCAGGAATAACTTTTTTTCCTAAAATCAATAATAATTTTTTTTTCCATATATGGTTCCAACTTAAGTAGATATTTTAATAGATGTAATATGGATTGGATCATTTACGATTGTGGTTAATAATTTAAAAGTATCCGAATGCCGAAAAAAGTATCCGATATCCGGATACTTACAAATTTGATGACGGATACGGATACCGGATACAAAATTTGAAAAGAATCCGGATACAGCTTTCGGATACACGTAAAGTATCCGGATACAGAAGTATCCGGATACTACCCAACTCTGAGTCCATATATGGGATGCGATGCCGTTTTATTGCAAGGTTTAACTTTTGTGGGAATTTGGTTGCTTCTAATTTATTTATGTCGGAGAAGTTTTCGGCCTAAAGGCATCAATTTCTCGAATAATTCCTCAATGAAACATGCATACAATTTTCATTTTTAGTCAAAAATATGAATTACAAGTACTACATCAGAGAGACGAATTAATTACCACTTCCTCCGAAGTTGTCCTGCTGTCAGTTTTATTAAATTGAACATTTCAGGAAACTCTGAAACTTTTAGGTATTTTTATAACAATACCTATGTCAACATCTAAAGCAGAGCGCTGTTTTTCAATGGTTAAACGGATTAAAACATTCCTCAGAAATACAATGAAGGATGAAAGACTTAGTGCTTTAGGTATGTTGTCCGTAGAAAAACATTTTGTAAATGGAATAGAACATTTAAAAAAATAAAGTAATTGAAAACTTTGCAACCAATAAAAAAAGAAGACTCCATTTATCGGAAACTAGTATATCATGCAACTTTGTGCGTGCGTGTGTGTACATACTGTAAATAGGTACAATTTTTGTGATTTTTTTAGTATGTGGTGTTAGATTACTAATTCTACTTTTATCTCAGGGGTTGGGGGTTTAAATAATACAAAACTTGTATATTCAAATTGCCAGAAATTTGTAGATTGGTTTCGTTTTATTTGTCTATATTATAATATGGTCTATGGTGGCTGACTAGACCTGTAGTTGATAGCACCGATAAAATAAAATCAACAAAACAAAAAAAGAGGAAGAACCAATAATTAAATAACCTAAAATGAAGCATGGTTTTGAAACGAATTATGTTAAACAATATAACTTTTATAATACCTTAAAAATATATAAATATATGATTATTAATCATGAAAATCAAGATCCATTGGTATGCATACCTCTGTTTACAAAGTTTAAAGTTTTTGATGATTGACCCACTTGTTACCGGTAGGTACGATTCAACTAAATATCTTAAGATTTACAAAATTATAATAAATATATTTCAAAAGAATATATATATCGTAGGATCACAATATAATTACTCCCAGTTATATTTGTCAATCTATTGTAGGAATTTCGTTTAATGTCCAATGCATACGGATCGGCAGCACAAATTAAATAAAAAACTAGGTTACCTTATTATCCGGGACATTACTATAGGAACAACTAAGTACCCTTACTTGGTCTCAAGACTAGTCTAGTTTGTATGAAACGATACATGAGAAGGTGGTAAAACTTGTAAGAAACGATCCAGGAGTAGGTAGTTGTCTTCAAAATTATAGGAATCTCCACTAGGAACGATCCAGGAGAAGGTAGTTGTCTTTAAAATGATATAAATCTTCACTTATACTTTTTTCCTTATAGATATCACCGTTTATATACAAGGTATACAGAGAAATCCCAATTACTAACGAGGGTAATTTGAGGAAATTTTAGCTATTCAGTAAAGCTATACGTCCAAATAAAAAAAAAATAAAAAAAAAATCTTGAGTCTACTCTGAATCACAATTTTTAACCTCGTCTGGAGGATGACTTTTCAGATCTTTCGCATGCCATACTCCACAATTTTTCCCAGATCTATCCTGTAACTGATAGCTCCAAGGAGAGAAAATCTTGGTTATGGTCAAGGGGCCTGTAAACTTGGGTGCCAACTTTGCAGTTACATTTCTGGATTTGTCAGACAATGTAAAGGTTCTCTTCCAGACTTGTTGACTAACCATAAACGTGTCTGGCCTTCGCCTGAGGTCATATCTCTTGCGACTGTTCTCATACGCCCTTGTCAGTCTCTTATTAACGTCACTATATACCTTTTTAAGGGTTTCAGATTGGATTAGAGGATCTAAAGGTTCTGTGGATTGACTCGGAGGGTTTTGAGGACTGCCAGAGACTTTAATCTCCCTCCCAAACATCACGAAGTTAGAAGTCATCTCCGTCACTTCATGTTTGGCAGAGCGTAGAGCTGAAGCCACTTTAGGTAAACATTTGTCCCAAGACTTATGATTGTCGCGTACATAAGCCGATAACATAGTCTTGAGGACTCTGTAACTAAAGTTATCAATAAAATAACTACCTACTAGCTTAATATCTACACTATCCTGTATATAAGAAAATGTGTGTCCAGTACTACCGTATATTTATATATAAAAAAAGAATTTTCACTCAGAGATTTATTTTAGGTGGACAATTAATAAAACATATGTTTATTTATTTAAAATAAAACCAAGCATAAACGTATTTTATTTAATCAAAACACCTTCATAACCTCACTTCTATCGATGACCCGAAGACAGAATCGATTTTACCGTTGTAAAAATTTCTCAACAATCGATACTCGACTAGCGATAATCGATTTTTGTGCGATTGACACGCTAAATCAAACTAACAAACCTTTGGCACTTCCGTTCGTCATATGACACTTGTCAATTTGTATCAAAATGGACCTTGAAAAAAAGAAAAAGAAAAAACAATTTCCTACACGTGGAAGAAAGAGAAATGAAATTAAAATGCTATCAAGGAACTACCTAAAATTTCCAATCTATGCAAATATACCAAGTTGGATTCGCCAATTTGTTAGATTACTAATTCTACTTTTATCTCAGAGGTTGGGGGTTTAAATAATACAAAACTTGTATATTCAAATTGCCAATAATTTGTAGATTGGTTTCGTTTTAATTGTCTATATTATAATATGGTCTATGGTGGCTGACTAGACCTGTAGTTGATAGCACCGATAAAATAAAATCAACAAAACAAAAAAAAGAGGAAGAATTAATAATTGAATAACCCTGACAGCCTGTTTCTTGGCAAAACTTGTGTTAGAAACCCCATACATAGTAGTCATATAATAGATATAAAAGTATCAGTCATTCATTAATTTTTTTAATTAAAATTTTATACCTATTTTGACAATACCGTGATAAATTTTTGCCCACAGTTAGTTTTTTAAACGACTTTTGGGTAAAAATTTGGGCGTGGGACTCCAAAAAATTTTTCGACACGTTTGTTAAAAATCTGGCAGTACCATCTCGTATTATCATCAGCCGCCACTGGTTCCGAGTATTAATATTTGCTCATTGGACTTAATATTTTAAATGAGTTTTATTGCAATATAATCTACCAAAGTTTAAAGGTAAATAATTAATACCTTTATTCATTTAAACCGAAAGTGACGAATATATTATCGGAATGTCCTTTAATAACTCAGTAAATTTTAGTAGCAGTGGCGTTGCACATAATGACTAATTTTAATAAATGTATATTAATAGTTATTATAAAATTAAGTTAATTTATTTACATATTTACTTTATTAATTCTCTGTTTTAGATTTTTTCTGAATGAAGTATCTAGAAATAGTGTTTGGGTTATTTCATTCAAAAAATTGTTTATTTAGTAAATTTCTGTTTTTGTTTAGTTTTTCACCCTTCGGACCCATCGTGCTGTAGCCTTCTACTTTCTCATTTACCAATTCTCTCACTCATTCACCGTCATTCATTTCCCGTCGTTGATGGTTAAACGCTAGTTGGCTAAGTCTCATGGTGACACGACCCATGGTGGAACCTCTCAGTGGTAAGTCATACACAACCTGACCGAAGAGATCATTGCTTAACTGTTGCGAGTATGTGCATGCACACTAATATTGCAGCTAGCCTCTTCGGCTAATATCTGGTTAAAAAGAGTTATTTTATGTAAATGTTATACATTATAACCTCACTTTTTTACTACTTCGACATTATTGGCTACTTTGATCGGTTTCTTTGTGAATCATAAAGTAGGGAATACCTACCTATTTACTAGCAAAATTACTTTAAATGAAGATTAAGAGACACTATTGTTCACTAATCTGTCTAATAAGCCTACCTGTATTTTTCTTTAGTGCTAATATAAAAGAAATATTATCGAATAAAAATTGCCTGCCTGTATAATAAAACATTCCCTCTATTATCAATCAACAAGCTGATAGCTATATTCATCGAATTCTTCATTGAATGTTTTATGCATAATTGCAATACATACCGGTTGACAACGAATCATTCACCAATTAGAAAATTTGCAGGTATTACATTAATAATCATTCTAGTTATTTCTTATAGTAATAAAAAATAAAATCAGCTATGGTTAATATAGCCCGTTATGTAATAATTGTAAGTATTTGGTGTATATTTTTGGTCCAGGCACAGTGGAAATATGAAGTAATCGTGGGTAATTTCAGTATAAATGACAAACCGTCTGTTGACCAATACGTTTATGCTGATTATAAATTTTTTTCTATCGCACATCGAGTGGTAAGTAAACATTTTATTTACGTTTTTTATAATTTAGAAATTTTTTTTAAATTGAAGGAATTCGATAAGAGTAAGTAAAGTATAAAATAACTAACACAATTTGAAAAGGTGTCTATATTTATTAGCACCCATCATAATATTTTTTAACAAATTCATGAATTATATGTAAAAAGTTTCACACTGATAACATGAAAATGTGCAATTCATTATCTTGACCATACATGTTGATAATATAATTATTAGTTGTTTGATGAATATATAAATATCTACAGAATAATGCTTTGCAAATCACAAAACACTAGAAGGAAAAATTCGTTGGCTCTAAGAATAGGTCAGACATTGCCTTTTCGATTGGTAAATCACTACCTTTGTTATTAAATTCCTAAGCGTGCAATTGTGTAGTATGATTATTATATTTCTATGATTTAACATTTAATTAATTGGTTCTTTTGGGAGTTGACGTGTAGTTCATCTGGGTCTAGTTAATTTGTATGTAAAGTTTTAAAAAATGCTTTAACCCCCTCCCCCCCTCTAAAACGAATTACCAGAAGCTGTAGATACACTTTGGGTACACCACTGTTTTCCTGTAGTTGAAAATGTCCTGTCAAAAGGTTGATGACGTAACTGACACAGTTCTTAAAACGTAAGTGAAACTTTCTGTTTCACATCTGATAAAGTGCGAGATGATCATTTACCATATTATTATTATTATTATTTACGAAAATAATAGATAACACTAGTCGCTATATACAGTACGTAGATGAGAAAATGCTGAAAAGAAATATGACAAAAACAATCTGGGATACCGTTTTTCAAACACAAGATTTAGACGATGCAACTGAATCATTCTTAGAAATAATCCAAACCGCAATAAACAAATCTGTAATAAATAAAAAAATTAAAACTAATGAAGTTAAAAGGAAAAACTGTATAAAAGGTTCTCTAGTTACGTTGGTAAATAAAAAAAATAAACTATACAAAAAAACCAAAAATGACCCAACTAATCAGAGCTTAAAACTTGAATACAATAAATATAAACAAACTTTAAGCAAACTAATAAGTAAATCAAAAACAGATTTCTATAAAAATCTAATAACTAAAAACAAAACAGATTCAAAAATACTTTGGAAACCAGTCAATGAAATACTCTCAAAAACAAGTAACACAAATGAAATAAAAGAAATAAAAAATAAAAATGAAATAATTACACAACCCGAAGCTATTGCATCTGCCTTTAACAACTATTTTTCAAATGTGGGTACACAACCAGCTAGTAAAATAAAAAATAACCTAAACTATAAAGAAGTAAAAAAAAACATGTCCCCACTCATTGTTTCTTTTACCAACCAACTCCAACGAAATTAAATCAATTATTTTAGAACTAAAAACAAATAGTGCTCCAGGACCAGATAACATAACCAAAAATATTCAATGTATATTGGAAACCATACTCCAACCTCTAGTATATCTAATAAATAAATCTTTTAAAGACGGGTGTTTTCCAGCTATATTTAAAAATTCAATAATAATTCCGATTTATAAAAACAATGATAAAATGGAGGTAAGCAATTATCGGCCCATATCTCTAACATCAGTATTTTCAAAGATAATTGAAAAAGTTATAAAGAAAAGATTAAATATGTTCCTAACAAAACATAAAACACTCAATAAAATGCAATTTGGGTTTAGAGAAGGAAAATCTACAAACGATGCTATTGTAGAATTAACATCTTACGTCTATGACAAAATAGATAAAAAAATCCCTACAATTGGGGTATTCTTGGATTTATCGAAAGCATTTGATACAGTCGATCATCAACTTCTTTTAGAAAGTCTAGAAGATGTGGGAGTCAGAGGCATTCCATACAAACTCCTAGAAAGCTACTTACTGGGAAGAAAACAAAACGTTAAAATAAAAAATTATTTAAGTGAAGATCAATATATTACGTGCGGAGTACCTCAAGGGACTGTACTAGGTCCATTACTGTTTAATATATATCTTAATAATTTATTCGAAGTAAAGCAAGGAGGGGGAAAATTTTGTCGTTTGCAGATGATACAGTCATTATATATAACCATACATCCTGGACCGAAGTAAAATCATTAACAGAACACGGTCTTACGGAAGTTAAGAAATGGTTCGATAATCGCTTACTCTCTATCAATTATTCAAAAACCTTATACTTACCGTTTACCAGCTATGCATCATATCTTCCTAACTTCAATTCCCTAGATATAGATGAAAATACTACGATACAATTCATCTAGTGAATTTTTAGCTTTAGAGACTTAGGTATCTAAAGAACAAGAGTCAATATTACTTATCTCCAAATCAGTCTCACTTAGCATTTGCCATTCTGTGTTTACAGCTTCTACATCCAAATCAATATCAGGAAACAAAATTGAAAAGACAGCAATTGATTTTATTTCACGAGACATAGCTATTTAACACAAAAATTAGCAGCATATTTTAAATGTTGATCTTCAAAGTTGAAGCGTTGTTTAATCTGATTTGCTAATTCAATAAAAAAACTAAGTACATGCACTCTAAAACTGTGAAGATCCTCTTTTGGTATCTTATCAAGATTCTGCATGAGGAAAATATCAGATTTTGCCCCGATATACAAATTCTCAATCAATACATAATTGGAAGGATTGTGTATATTGATCTCTTGAACCTTATTAAATTTATTTCTGTCATCTTTTTTTATAAAACATTTTAAAATAGTGTTATACAAAGCTATCACCCTAGGAAGCAAAATTGGAATTTTCGGTTTCTCGCTTTGTAATTCCACATTCAAATCAGTCACCAGTTTTAAAATATATAACAAGAAAAGTAGGTACAGTCTATATATAGGATTATTTAAAGCATTCAAAACAGATTTTGCTCGTGGCAAGTTATCATTGGCAACCGCTCTTGAAAAAAATAATTTTAAAGATTCCCAATGCCCTAATATTCTGTCGACAGCCTTAAAAAAAAATTAAATTATATTCCTATTAGCTTATTATACTACTTACAATCAAAGATAACCAACGGGTCTGGCTAGGGTATAACATTTTATGTGGCCTTTCATTAAAAAATACTTGACATTCTTGTAATTCTTCTTGTCTTTTATTGCTGTTTGAAAAATATGAATATATATCTCGTGTAAATTGTTCCACAGTATTAGGTAATTTTTTTGATGCAGAGGAGGTACACAGATGCAAAGAATGACAAGTACATCCTTGCACATAAATATGAGGCACAATATCTCTGAATCTTTTTTGAACGCCTGATAAGTGTCCCATCATTGTGCTGGCGTTATCAGCAGCTAAACCAATAATATTTTTTAAAGGAATATTATTCGAGTCAAAAAATTCTCTAATGCAGTTAAATATTGCTTCTGCTGTACACTGTTTTATTTCTAATAATTCAAGAAATCTGTCTTTTACAGTTCCTTCATTCCAATATCTCACAACAAGGGCTAAACATTTTTTTGTACCAACGTCTGTTGTCTTATCAATTATTATTGAGAAATTGTTGTTTCTTAAATCAAGCAATATTTGTTTTTTAAAATATGGTGCCAAAACTTCAACAATTAAACCCGTCACTTTTTTCTTTTCATATTCACTCCATTAGCTATTAATGAATCAGGGTAAATATTTTTATTTAACAGGGGAAGTGTGTCCATTAATAGAAATGATAAATTGTGTTCACACATATAACAACACATTTTTAGTTCCGCTTCTTTTATTTGTAAATCTGTATTTGTCAGTTTTTTTTTTTAGAAATTTGTCAATATTAACAGTCGTTTTAGCTAGACGTATATTATTTATATGGGTTATACTATTGCTATGTCGATTTAGGTGAAATCGTCCACCTGCCAGTTTGAGGGAGCATACTTTACAAAATACAAATTTCTTCGTAGAATCTATCCATGAATATTCATTGGCTAATTTTTCAATTGATGATGGAATATATTTTTTCCATTTTCGTTTGGATCTTTTGTGTGTATCCTGTTCATTTTCCTTTTCACTTTTTTCAAAACTATCTGTTTCAATTACTACTTCATGTTCGTATATATTTTCATCCATTTCAAATCCATACTTATAAACTGCATTTTCAAAGCCATAATCATGATCTGCATTTTCAAAACTTTTTAATGGACATTCTTGGGATTCTTGACAACTAGAAGTGGATGCCAGTGATGTATCATTTTGAGTTTCGCTTATTTTTATTAAGTACCTATTAAAGTGGATTCGCATTTTTTTAATAATTAAAAGTACAATTAAATAAAGATTCACTTACTTATCCATATTTATATTCCTTAAAAATTGATTATATAATATAAGTAGTTTTTGGTTCTCGCGTTCGGGAAGGTATCCTATTGGGAGTGTTGGGTTTCCCCGTGGTCTGTCTGTGTTCTGTGAGTACTAACTGACAACTGACAACAAGAGTGACAGGCTAATAATTGACATCTGCCATTCTCATCTTTTTAATTTTCAATAAACATGACCTATTGCATAGTAAAACATACAACCACTTTGCGGAAATACACATTTCGTAATAAAAATGGTAATACAAAATTGTACAACATTTCCGACTTTTTCCGAGAGTGCGTACCACAGTACAACCACATGAGTGATTGTACCACATTTTGTACAATTGTACAACCAGGAACAACACTGTTGAAGTCAACTCAATAAAATTCTAGAAGCCGGATATTACAAAAAAAAGACACGAAAACCAATGGTAACAACATCAAAATTTTTAAAGTTCCTAATTCTAATTATAAAATAACAGAGACGCACTCACTCAAAGCCCTATTTAAAAATTTCACAAAAACCCTTGTAAATATATGTTGACAGCATGAAATATTCTCTGCACTATTTCTTTACCTAACTGCTCTTGTTTAACATCCCAAATTATTAATTACCCTTATTTTAAACCCCTTACTAACAATTTATTAACCATCCAAAAATTAAGTACAACCCTGGTCAAATGCTAAATGTTTACGAAT